GAGTAACATCGCAAAACATATTATTCACCTGAGTACACAACACCAACACAGAAAAATATTCATATTACTAGAACACATTGGTATTGAAGGAACTAGATACTGTTCCGAAATATCACTTACTCGAACCGTCCTGACCGCGCAGCTCAGTTGGAAGAGCATTGGGCTAGTATTCCAAAGGTCGTAGGTTCGAATCCCACCGTGGCCGGGCATATTTTTCAAGCTCGCCCGGTGTGGATATGCACTCAGAGTAACATCGCAAACATATTATTCACCTGAGTACACAACACCAACACAGAAAAATAAACGAAATGTTTCTGGGCTTTAAATGGGTATGACTCGCTATACATACTCATACCCAACCTCGGTCCCACGGTCTTTCTTTGAACGGTGCGAGGCGAAGGAAAGACCCTGTCTGCGGCTGGTCACGTGCCTCCCAGATTCTGGGAGGTAAATTAAAATTATACTATGAGTAGGGTGGGGTGGGAAAGGAGCGTGTTTGTCGCGTTGTAAAAAAATAAAAATTGCAACTTTGAAGGGTGACGAAATTTAAATTTGCAAGAAGAAATCGTGAAAAGAACTCTAATTGAAATTAATATCTGTCGTGATTGTGACTTTCTACTTGGTTGCAAACCACCAATTATAATGTCGGCGCGCATATAGCTATGTTGCTGTTGTACTTGTGTCTTTATTGCTCCTCTATGTTGTTAAATATGAACCTAATTCAACTATTACTGGAATGGAACGTGGATTTACTCAAAAGCTACGACGAGTACCAAAGAACTTGTGTGTTCCCAGAGCTATACTTCCCATTTGTCATGGATTGTGTGTCAGGAGGTATGCTGTTTATCGAGTGAAATATTTTCACAGGCGATTAAACTACAGTACTACGCGAACTGTACATCTTCATTCATCTCCAAAGAATTGGAGATCATAACTCTGAGTGGTGATGTACATCCCCAACCTGGTCCAGGTACTAAAACATTTTATCGGACAATAAAATGCTTATACATGAATGCCAGAAGCATAGTTGGTAAGATTACTGAGTTGCAAGCCACAGTCACTGATTTTGATCGCGTGTTCACTGAAACATGGCTTAAACCACATATACTTGATTGTGAATTTCTGCCTGGTCTAGATTTTACCAGCTATCGACGTGATTGAGATACAGGAGCAGGTGGAGGTGTTATGCTTGCCGTTAAAAATAATATACAAAGTTTTCGTCGGCCTGACCTTGAGTACAATGCCGAAGTACTAGTGTGTGAACTGCGCCCCGAAGGAAAACGTAAAATCTTGGCTGTTGTATTCTACAAACCTCCAGATACTGACTTAGACTATTAATTGAAAAAATTAAAGAAAAGTTTACTCTATTCTTCTAGACTTAACTTTGACAAAATGCTTATCTGTGGTGCCTTTAATCTGCCTAATGTGAATTGGTCATCCTGTACGGCCAACTCGAGCGATTCCCTACACAACTATTTTGCAAAATTAGTCAAGGATAATTTTTGTGCCAAATGATCGGCTTCCCTACGAGGAAGGACGATATTTTGGACTTAATCCTCATAAATTTTCCAGAGAAAATAGTAAATGTCCATGGTTTTGATGATTTGATTTTTAGCGACCAGAAATTGATCAGTTTTGACACTGATATGTGTATTCCAAAGAAAATTGAAACAAAGCGCATTGTTTATGTTATTATAAGTTCAAAAATGCAGATTGAAAGGGTCTAACTGAAGCACTTCGTAATGTCGCTTGACATCTCTGCTTTGAATTTGATGAGGTTAATCAGACTGCCTCAAACTGGTGTGATGTATTTATATCGACAGTAGATGAATATATACCCAAATGTACGATCAAGAGCTCAAAACGTCACGCCTGGATTGATGAAGTTTTGTCATTAATTAAGAAGAAAAATCCAGTGCGAAGAAAAGCAGTAAAAACTGGTTTGGCAGCTGATTGGCAGAAATTTAAAGACCTGAGACGTTCTGTCAGCTTGTTATGCAAAAGAGAACTGACTATGCACGTAAAATTGTCGAATCTTTGGCAGAAAACCCGAAACGCTTCTGGTTTTTTGTAAAATCTAAAACAAGAGTCAATGCAATGCCTAATTTTCTTCGTGACGGGAACGATTTTGTTACTGACTACACAGCGAAAGGCTAAAGCAGACTTATTGAATAATTTTTTTCATTCAGTGTTTAGTTCTGCTGAAACAGATGTATGGGACTGCTTTTCCAATGACAACTCTGCCTTAGATTTGCATAATATACTTTCTAATGTTGAGATCACGGTTTCTGAAGTTATTAGTGAACTAAAAATTAAAATCCAACAAAGTCGAGTGGCCCTAACATGGTCTGTTGTACCGAAAATTCCGAACTCTGTTTAATGACTGTAATTGGTCACGTTACCTGTCACATTTGGCCCAGGCTTACCCGAGTGACGTCATAGATTTTGCATACTAATTACTTCCAGCACCTGAAAATCCGGCCCGATCGGCCTGTATATTACTACTGATATCTCCATGTTATGGTGGAAGGACAAGTAATGTTTTTATTGTTAGAAACTATGGATTTTTGGACTTGAACCTTATGATACTGTTATGGCAGACAGGGGGTTTAAGATAAAGTCAGACCTCACAATGAAGAGATGCTATTCAGCAATCCCTCCAAGTGCAGCTAAAGGCAATCATATGATATCAGATGATGTTGCTGTTACAAGTAAAGTTGCCAATGTTAGAATCTTTGTTGAAAAAGCTATTGCAAGAGTTAAATGGTTTAGAAGTTTATCTACTGAACTTACTATGTTGGAACTGCCATTGGTTGATGACATTCTTATAATATATTATGCATTAGTGAACTTACTTCATCCATTGCAAGCTGAGAAAATTGACATTGACACATAAATTTCCCAAGACTTTATTCAAGGGAATGTAGAAATATTACAGTGGTTTTAGAGTGCTTCTAATCATATACGTCATGATTTAGGAACGTGCAGTTACTAATTTTTAGACTTTTAGAGTTTGAATTATGGTTTGGATTAGGATTAAGATTAGGGTTAGGATTAGTAAGAGTTAGGATTAAGGTAAAGGTTAAACCTTTAAGTCTCAATGTGCCGAGATGAATCCTACTTTATTATTTTACTCTGTCTAACGCCAGATGATTTAATTGTCAGGGGGAGAGTGCTGCCACTCAATGTGTTAAAAAATAAAAGAATACAAAATAACAAAATTCTAAAAATAATAACTGTTCCTAAAATGTGACAGGTATACTTTTCATCGACAGAAATGTTTGTTAAACAAAGTAAACACAACCATTCTTCATCCACAACATCAAGCCCTTGACACTTCAGGTGATACCAGCAATTAAAACATCAAAGGTGTGAGCCATCTATTCATTCTTTAATCTATGAAAAAGCCCCAAAATAATTTTCACATTAGCTTTTAGACCAACAGTTTCCCTTTAAATTCCCTAAATTTCAAGGAAATTGTAGTTTTCCCGGATACGGAAAATTAATTTTGAAAAAGTGTACCAATTTAGATTTTTTTGAATCGCAAAATAAGGCGATTTTTACACGCTTGCCTTGACTTTGAAACATCATTTAAAAGATTGCAAAATCAGTGCCGTAGCCTGCTCGATAATTGGTGGGTGGGACGAATATTCATATATTCTTGTCCACAGACCATAAAAACAGTTGATTTCAAAAGAAATTAATAACGCAAAACACGAATATATAAATATTCGCCCCCCCAAATTATCGAGCTGGCTACGGCACTGTGCAATATAGACTATCGTTGTTTATAAACATCTTATATCCACGTTTAGAAACCGAAAGTGAGGTTTCCTGAAGACGCGAATTGAGCAAAACGAAGTTGACTCACAATGTTTTTGGCTAATTTCACGAATCTTGGGTACGTGTCAGGTTTTGATAATTTTTCGGCGTTTAAAATAATATTTCAGAAAACAAACCCCATCACGTTTCTGAATACACATTAGTTTATCACTGGACAAAATAAGAGAACATTTCATTTTTCATCATGTGCCACCTGTCGCTCGGTGATAGTGGAGAGATTCCCTCTTAATACCCCAACTGGCGTGCATATGCATTTTGTATAAAACAACAAGGCATGACTTTTTTGAAATCACAAAATATAAATTATGTTTGATATACTGTTTATAACTGTGTCGGTTAATGGTCAACTATATCTAAGCGTGGATTATACATGTAAAATTGGGTAATTACTGGTTATGACTTCTTGGAATTAAATTGAAAAATTCGTTCCGTGCTATCCTTATCTGAATTATTCAAAATATTGTCGATCGTTTGCATCGTGAAAATCAAACATACTGCATGTAAATAAGCACGTAACTGAAATCCTGAGACGAATCTTGCAAATGTAATACAAAATAAAGTCGTAT